AAAAAAAAAAAAAAAAAAAGTAAGATAGATGACAGATAAATGGATAATAGGCCAGGGACCTAGTTCAGTGGCAGTGCCTCTGGGTTGTAGTAATAGACACAGACACACTTACATGAAAAGTCTTATAACTGTATTCCACATCACTGGGTTGTGGGGAGAACTAAATGAGCCATAGTGAATGAAAGTGCATTGGAATAGAAAACCTATAAAAATTTAGGGAAAAGCAAAGGAGTCAAAGAGACTTTGACCTGAGTCCTAGGCCTGTCTGTGCTATTTATTTATTTTGTGTTTCTAAGAAAATGACTCTGTTTCTTGAAGTCTCGGTTACTTCATCTTTATAAGAGAGCTGGTAGTAGCCACCCCACAAGGTTGTCAAGATTAAATGGCAATGTATAAAGCTGTTGGCATGTTTCCTGGCACATAGATAAACCTAAGAAATATCTTCTTTTCTATGTATAGTAATTACTTTACATTCACGATTTTGTATTTTTTCAAAGGAGGATAGTATTTCCAAGAATATTTTGGTTTTGCTTAGGAGACTTTTTTATGTGAAAGTTTATTAACGTGAAGATGAAAGGTCTATAAAATTGAACTGCTGAAGGCATCCTATTTAATTATACATCAAGAATCCCAATGCTGAATATTTCATCAGTGGCATCCCTGGCTGTTAGGAGGCAGAGCATGGGGAGAAGAAACGATCAATTAGAGGGAATCTGGTATAAGCCCAACAAAGAAAGCTGTGTCCTGTTGCCAAGTAGAAGAACAAGGTTTTCCAGAAAAAATTTAAAATAACTGATCAAAGCTTTCCAAAAGAAGCTCTGACATAGATTCACCACCATTCATTTTCCATCAGTTAGATTAGTAGATTGGTATTGCTTTTCTAAGTCTAAATGGTTATGTTCTTTCACTACTTGCTACCTGACACCGCCGTGGAATCCACTCTTAATGTATTTCCTTACCAATCTGCAGTTAAGCTTTGTAACAGGTCAGATTCTTGTCTCTGGACTAATCCCAGGTGGAGAAGGATGGATAGATAAGAAGGTACCGATACCCTATGTGGTGTCAACAGTATCCTTGGAGAAGCTTTCTAAAAGTTTCTGAAGTCTGAATTTTCAAAGATTCACAATTGGCATCGTCTGTATCTACTCATGGGTGCCCAACACAATGCTCAACAAAAATAGCACACTCAATATACGTTAGCTGAAAGAAAATATTGAATTCCATCTCCTGCCTATCCTCTTTCTCATAAATGTAGCTCTGCAGGGGGTCAGGCCATGGGGGTGAGGGACGGGATTCAGAAGCAAGAGATGATGGGAGCATCTGGTCACGAGAACATCGTGTTCCCCCAAATTCCAGGGGTCACAGTGACCTCGCCTAACAAGCTTCACTTGAGCCTCCAAGTGCTCCGAAGGGAGTCACCGGCCCCTCGTGTAGCCCCTGTGTGTGTGTGTGTGGTGGTGGTGCGGGCATCATTTTCCCAAAGTTGATTTCAGAAGCACTGACTAACACCTTTGTCAAAGCAGGGCTTAGTGATCCATTTAGGCAAGTTTCCAGATTCCTCACCTAGGGAGCATGGAGGTTTCTAAGAGGGGAGGAACAAAGGAGGAAAATAGGATTATATTGAAAATAATACAAACAAATTCAAATACAATCTTCAGTGGCCCCATTAGCATAAAGCTTGTTGTTTCTCAGCATTCTGTACCATCTTTATCCAAATTTTATCCATTTGTTTTATATCATCTTGAGTTATTATAATGACCTTGGAAAGATGGATATTTTTAGCCCTATTTCACACATGAGAAAATTGAGATGGATTAAATAATGTATCTAAATTCATATAACTAATAACACAGGTTTGTCTGACCCCCAAACCCAATTCTAGCTCAACACACTTTTCCATTTGAATGCTTCGTTTTACCCTATTTAAATATCACTTTTTGTTTTGTTTTTGTGGTACTGGGGATCGAACTCAGGACCTTGTGCTTGCAAGGCAGGCGCAGCACCACTGAGCTAAATCCCTGGCCCTTAAATATCACTTTTAATGTTTCTATATACGTATTACATTTCTTTTTAACAGCAAGATAATATTCCATTATATTGTTATGTCATAGTTACCCATCCACTTTATTCTTGAGAATTAGCTTGCTTCAGGTTTTTCATTACAAACAATGCTGCTGTAAACATTTTTATTGCTGTTGTTCATGTAGCTTTGTTTTCTTCTTTTACTTCCAAGAGATAAATTCCCACGAGGTGAAAGATTACAAACATCTATTTGACTCCAGCTATATATTACTAAAATGTCCTTTGAAAGAATTGTACTGTGTCACTGCATGTTGAAAGAGAGTACTATCTTCTCTTACCAGCCCCTTGTGAGAGATAGAAGGGTAGAGTCACTGATGAAAACAGCCCTTTGTCCCTCTGTCTGTGTGGGCAATGCCCCAGGGCCTTATCACACTCCCTGAAAATGATTTTCAACACAAGTATTCGTATTCCAGAATAAAATCTCACATGGGATGGTGTGATTCCTCCTTCCCAGGAGAGGCTTCCTTGCTTAAATTATCTTTTTGAAGTCATAAGATCAGCAGAAGGTTTTTCAAGCAACTGACACTTTTTTCTCAAATCAGTTAGTAGCCCTCCATTCCTGTGTTGGAGGAAAGTCTGATGCCTGGTAGAAGTGAAGCTTGGACTTTGGCTCATGGTTCGCCATTCCAAAGTTGGTCCAAAAGCCTCTGGGATAAATTACACCAAGGAAGGGGAGTCCTAACAGAGCTGGGAAAGGCTCCAGGACCTGCCAGGAAAACATAAAAGTAAGAAAAACTGTATTTCATCTGGTGGAAGACTGTTTTGAAATTACATACTTAATATCTCTCCCTCTTCGTTACCATACGTGGCAAGAGCGCCATTAACAATGAGAGGTTCAGATCTAAATTATAACCGGGACTCAGACAGTAGATGTTATTATTATTAATACACGTGGTAACTATAGTACCGTCTAGGTAACAGTACAGCAGGCACTGCAGGGAAAAGTGTGAACATGACAGCAGGCTGAAGAGGTTTGCCATCTCTCCAGAGGGACAGGTCGCCGTAGGGAAGATTTTATCCTCTATGAGCTTCAGTGTCATTATCTACACAGTGGAGGTTATGACTCTTACCTGCACACTTCATTTCACAGACTCAGTGAGTGCGTGGACCATGCGTATAATAGGTGCTCGATTTATAAATGGTAAATGGGATCCATCAAGTCTTCCTCTGCACCAGCGGTTCTTAGACTTCAATGTGTAGATCACGTAGGGCACCCATCTGAAGAGCAGATCTGTCAGGCTCCACCCCCAGAAATGTGTTCCTGTCACTGTGCAGTGGGGCCCAGGACTCTGCATGTTCCGTATAACTGAATTCCGAGGGGACTAGGTTGCCACCCGTCCATAAACCATACTTGGAGAAGCCCTGCCCTAAAATCCGAGGGAATAAAATAAGGGATTCTGTATCACCAATATGCCACAAAAGCTCCACAGCACGCAGAAGTAAAGATATCCAAATATTGAATCTGCTTTCTGGGTGATTTATGGAGTGTTTATCTGCTTTAAAAAATGGTAATTGCCCTAAAGCAATATTCACCCCTTTAACCCTTGTGATGTGGATAAATGTGTGTCAACAACTCTTCCTTGACCCCTCACAGTGCTGTCTCTCTCCTCTGGACTGTGGGACTTAGCTCCCCGCTTCCGCCACCCTGAGCAGTGACAGACACCACCACTGCAGTCTTGTGTGACTTCACATTGGATTTGGGTCTCATCTCTCCTTTAAATCCAAAGGCAGAAACCAACGTCCTGTACCATCCCATATTCTCTATAAGCATCTATTGAGCCTTTGTACAGGGTCTGTGTTTCAGAAGGACGTTTGAATGAGTGTAGATTTGTATATCGAGCTGTTCATTCACCTAAGAGTGGCTCCAGATCATGGTCGTGAAGTTGGGTGAACTATTGCGAACTGGGGCTTTGGAGTCAGGCAGATCCGCATACAGTTCTCAGTCCTGGGTAAGTGCTGCAACCTTTCTGAGCACGTTTCCTCATTGTGCGGTGGGAAAACCGACGGGAGGCTGTGGTGGTGCTTACGAGGTTACAGCAAAATGCCTCACACCTGTGATTCTCTTTAAGGGCTAAACATTGCTGAAGAGCCCCTGCTGTTGTATCCAAAATATACACAATAATAGACAAAACTGCCTTAGATATTTATCTTCAGATGTAAGATAATAAATAACTGATTCTCTCTGTGTAACGTTGGTATTTTCTCTTTCTTTCTTTGTAAGGTCTAGAAATTTAAGCTTTAAGTAATAGATTGTCCAGAAATTTGTGTGGATTCCCTATAGAGATGGGAAAAGACACAAAGCAGCTATTTTGCCATTTCAGGCTTTCACACAGAGCAGTACAATCAGGGTTTAAGTTTAGGCTTCACAGACCCCCTCTGTTCACGATCATGACTTTTCACCCATCGCAGAGAGGCGTCCAGCTCCCAGAATAAGGAACGTGTGCCCTACCTGAATGAGAAGCAGAGACTTCCAGCTTTTCAGACTGTAGATAGGAGATTTACCAGTCTCAGTGGTGATACAGACCCTGGAATCGCCTGAGTAATGTTTAGGGATCCCGTGAGCAAGATGATCACAAGGTTGGAAGCTAGAGTTTTCTTACTTCATTGAAATATTGCCATCTAAGTATCTGGGATTCTATGGTGTGGAGGAAATAATATATACAGTTTCTGCATAAAGATAGTAATTGCAACTTTAGCAATAAAATGCTTCTGAGTATGCTTTAAGGAGAAAAAGGATAAAATGTAGTTTAGGCTCAGAGCTTTCCCCAAATCTGAAGGGATGCTGAGCCTTCTAGTCCTCCCTGCCTCTTACAATAGCCAATAAAAACCTTATACTTAGGTGTTAGGATTGTGACATCATCAGCCATCTAATAATCATCTCCCAGTTGATTATTTGCATAGTTTACACCTCCAAATTCAATGAAACTCATTTCTTCTCAGGAGAACAATGAGTGTAGAAGTGCTATCCTTCCACAGAAAAGGAAGAAAATTACATTCACACAGAGATATTTCTAATGATAACTGGTATAAAACTATAGTGATTAAAATTATACCTAGCTCCTCTACAGAGTATGTTTATCTTCTACACACTCTGCTCAGAATCTTAAAGTAGCTCTCTGACAGCTACATTTGATGTTTAACTGTTCTTTAAAATAGTCCTTTAGAGTACAAAACAATTTTCTTGGGTAATCTAAAACCTCTATTATCAGCAAAAATATAAGACCTTTATTTCTCAGACTTGTTTCTATAAAAAGAAGAGAAACCCCACTCTGCACTTAGCTGTTGATATTGGCATTTTATTCTTTATAATGAGTCACCAGTTTATCAGGCTACATGAACTGGGTGTGGCAGGGATGCTGGATTCCATAAACCTGTTCTTCATCCTCCTTGTTTATATACTTATGGCTCAGCAAACTCAGTACAGCCAGGGGTGCTCCTCTTCATTGTGTTCCCCCAGGTCTCTCTTCGGGAAAAGTATTTAGTGGGATAATTTTGCCTTTCTCCAGCAGGTGTGGACAAGCTACTTTGTCTCATAGGTTTTCTAAGCACACATCACACGTCAAGTATTTTTTACATGCATTATCTAGCTTAATCTTCACAGTAGCCACGCAAGGAGATAGGTGTTATGAGCCCTATTTATAGATGAACAGAGCAAGGGTATGAGAGGGTAAGCCATTTGGTTGCCTGAGAAATCACAAGGAATAACAACCAGAATTCTTAGATGAAATTTCTGACACTAAGACCATCTTCTTCCCACGACACCACGCTATTCACTTATAATTAATGAGATGTGCCAAAACAGAAGGGAAAATGCTACTCCTACATACCAAATATAACCACTTGCATTGTAAATCTGCAAGTATTTGTCTTGTTATGAGTATCAAGACATAATTTATAGTTGTATTTTCCCTAAGAAACATAGAACAGTAGAATGATCTGGTCCTTTGAAGAAAAGTTCAATCAGCCAAAATACTTCTAAGTCCTACAAAGGTGCACAATAGTTCAGAACTACGGCTAATGAAAATTTGTGGCTGGCTTCGAACCAGCAATTGTAGGTCACTCAGGAGTCCTACACAAACTTTCTGTCCAAACTTCTCTGGTATTTGCTTGTTTGTTTTATACTGTTTCACTCAGTGAATTCAGAAATGGGTGAAATTCAGAAATTTCTGAAGTCCCATTGGAGTAAAATGTACAACCCCTTGATAACAGCTATGGGCCTTACTCTGCCAGGAACTGTGTAAATGCTTTACCTATATCACACAAAGGCCTGATAGTTGGTGCTGGGATCATTGCCACTGCACATAAGTGGAAAGCTGGGACAGAGAGTTCAGGACTGGGAGGATAGCTCAGTGGTAGCACACACAATTAGCATACCGGAGGTGCTGGGTTCAATCCCCAGTACCAGAAAAAGAAAAAAAAAAAAAAAAAGCTGATTTTGTAAAACAGACCAAAGGCTTTCTGTTTGACCTGCATCACACCTTGGTAAACATGACCACAAACAGGAAACTCACCTATCATACTGTAAGTGTACAATAATATATGGGGCTGAGGATTTAGCTCAGCAGTGCCACCACCTGCCTGGCAAGTGCAAGGTCCTGAGTTCAATCCCCGTACCCACCCCCCAAAATAGAAATCTAAATTAAGATCAACTTCAATCTAGTGTAGAAATGAGAGCAAGCACAGTGGTGTGCACCTGTAATCCCAGCACTCTGAGAGACTGAGGCAGGAGGATCCCAAGTTCGAGCCTAGAGTAGACAACTTATCAAGATCTTCTCTCAAAATAAAATTAAAAAGGGCTAGGAATATAGCTCATCACAAAGGCCTTGCATCCAACCCTTAGTATTAGGGAAAAATAAATGAGATATAATTTTAAATTAATGCTCTGTTTCCTTGGAGGTTCATAGAGAATCCCTCCACTTTTCCTCTGCTTAAAATCAGGTCAGGAACATATGTCACGGTCTACTCACTATTTGCTCACCAACCCGTGCCACCCAAGACTTTCCCAGGATCTGCCCGGCCACTGCACTGCCCGGGGCCACCTCTTACACCTTGCAGGGGGATATCTTCCCCCTATTCTGCCTAGTCCCGCCCACGATTTACACGGGCATTCTGCCATTCCTCCTCCCTGGGAAGGAAGGGCTGATCACTTTGCATTTCCACACGGTGCCCAACGCTATGTAGTGGAAGTGGGGGGTGGCTCCATGTTGCAGCCCATCCGAAATTCCTATCTGCTAAAAACGGAGCTGCTTAGTTTAGAATTCCAGTTGAGGAATTTAGAAAGTGGCTGCCTGTCGGGAGTAAACTCTTAACAATTCGGTGCCTTCTAGGATACACATTAAATTGAGCGGTTGGAAAGAGAAGATAGAACAGTCAGGAAACTCACAGTCTAGTGGTACCCAAATGGCCCCAGAGGTGTGAAGAAGCTTGGTAAGCTGCAAAACTCTTCGGGGATCATCGTCGTGACTCAGACTAAGAGCCGCCCTCACCATAGGCTGGGCCAGTGTTTCTCAGAGGATAGCGTGTATCAGAACTGCCCGGGCCCCTCCTCTAAACACTCCCGAGCCCACTGACAATTTGGTAGGTTTGCTGGTGTCCAAAAATTTGTCTTTTTCTTCTTTCTTTGAGACAAGTTCTCACTACCTATGTACCCCAGGCAGGGCTGCAACTCAGCAATCCTCCTGCCTCAGCCTCTGACTGCTGGGACCACAAATTTGCAGCCCCCACGCCCCAGCTAAGAATCTGCACTTCTCCCAAGTTCCTAGGTGATGCCGTTGCCACAGGTCCAAGGACCATACCTGGAGAACCACTGGTTGCTGGATAAGCAGGGTCCATTGTAACCACAGGAGGTGTGCAGTTTGCAGATAGAGTTACCGTTACTCCCGCTCCCTTCTGCCTCCATGGTACTCAGGGAAGCTTGGCTGAGGCAGATGGAGGAATGGGAATAGGAATCATTCCTTGCATACTCTTTTCATGTGTATCAACCTCCCGCCATTTATATCCGTTCTTATTTAAAAGCTACTTCTCCCTGCGCAAGGGATTCTCACGTACGTTTTTGTGCTTCAGTATGAAGTGCTGCCCAATAAAAGCATAAAGCTAAGCGGAGGCTCACCAGACGAGCAGTTAAAAACGAGGGAAGGAGCTTCGGGGCAGGAGGACGTCCCCTCCCTCCCCTCAGCATCTGCACTATGAGTAGGGGCATGGGCTTGTGACTCAGACCCCGCATCCTACAGGAGACGGTGCCTTCCTCTTCGGTGGGATGAATATAATAAATCGTGCAAAGTTAGGACAAAAAGAAAGGGCAGTGATGGTAAACATCCCTAGTGTGCCCCCTCCTTGCCAAATACAGCGAGGGAGGGGATCCTGGGACAGCCCTGGCTGGCACGGCTCCTCAGGCGGCCGCCCACGCCCGCTCGGC